CTATTTTCCCGATGTGTTGCAGTGGAACGTGATCGTCCACGTGGTATCGGATTTCGTCCACTTGCTCTCAACTGAATTGTTTACTTGGAGAAACCGCTGCCAATGTCGCTTTTTAAACTATTAGGCTGGCTACTTAATCGTTTACAGTCCCTTCAGTATTTGCCCGAATTCGCATAGACATAATACCGCAAGTTTACATGATCAACACCAGTTTTATGACACTTGTTAATGTTTCCCACAGTCTAGTTCCACTACGCTTAAAATTCATTTTGCTGCTGTCGTTTGGGTAAAACCAATGACAGTCCTACGTTACCGTCTCCGAAAATTATGCCTGTTCAGTCATTCCGCCCATTTGCAGTCAGTTAACCAATCGAATGTGTCGCAGGATAAATACGCGTTTTCTGCTGGCAGATAAAAATAAACTCACGACTTTTTTTTTCTAGTTCGCCTATGTGCAATGTCACCTCGGTGGGCGCGCCTACTCCAAGTCAAATAATGTAAATGAAATGCAGAACGACCAGAAATGCCAGCTTTTCTTGCTCCTGTGTTCGCAACACTTTTGTCGATTTACTTCCGGTAGAGTGTTTCCAAGTATGCTTAGCGCAACGTCAACACCGTCAAAGCTATTTCGTTGCGTTCTCGTGTACTCCAAATCAACTTGCGATTTTCGACGCAGGCAAATGAAGTAAAGAACAGTGTTTAACGAAAAAAGTTACGATATTTACGACCTCTTTAAACAAGCTTGCTAGAGTTGCGACATGTAAGGCATACTATGAAAAAATGTGGCTTGGCTTTTTCACTTCAGTTATTTCGGCTTGTAGTGTTAATGCAGCTCAATCTTTTTGTGCACTCGTTACTCTATGGTATTCGGTCCTTTGTACTTATTGTCAACTTGGCAGTTATAACACCTAGAGCTTATGGATCGTACTTTTGTTTTTCTGACTTTCATGCCTTGTGTGTATCCCGCCCATAAAAATGTCACTAATAGGATCCACAATATTCCCAAATCGCCGAGACTTTCTTGTGTGAATTACGGTGTCTAAAACCACAAGTGCCAGTACCGTTTGACTTGAAGATATTTGACGGCTAATCAAGTAGAATTTCGAGTAAAATCCCTACTTTGTCACGAATTTCCTTCCGCGGAGTGAGCACATTCAAGGGACGACAAAACCTCATCCCTTCTCTGCCTAATTAGACTATAATATTTGCTGTTTTCGAACACCCACTGAATCGAGCATGGATAAACTGAGACTGAGGCCGACTAATTAGCCGGAATTACGCCTAGTTTTTGTTGGTATTACTCGGTCAGCGATGCGTACTGACGGAAGTAGCAGTAAGGAAGGACTTGTCATCCCTTCCCGTTTTCCTGGCGGCTAACAATTTATTTAGTAGGTTGTCCTGCTCTTTCAAAAACTAGTGGTGTGGTTATCCATCCAGCAGTGCTCTTAGCTAAACTATAACTTAGTATATGCTTCAACTTGTTCATCTACAACGGTCCACGCGGTAACTGCGTTGGGCCAATACGGGATGCACTATTAGAGATGCGTACCTATAAGTCGGGCGGTTGACACGAATGGGCGCTAGCTACCTGCGACCGACCCCATGCCCGGTCTTCTTGACTTGATCCCGACACCGGGCCCAGGAGAGTGAAGAAAAAGAGGACGCGCTAGGTGAGCCACAAGCTCACTATCAACTAATTTGTGCTAAGTCATTCTCTCTAGGTCTACCCTGTTGTAGACCTTGTCAGAATCGATCGTCGAACTGTCATGCTTCAAGTTGATCCTTGTGTCATGAAGCGCCGTCCTTTTGTGTACGTGATACCATGTCGACCTCTTTCACGTGGATGCAGCGTACAACATTCGCCATCAGTCAAAAGCAAGACGTGCGAAGCCATTATGGTGAGGGCTCCTACTTTTTCATGATAATTTGGCGAGTCTTGTGTATTAGCAAGAGGACAGCATCAGTAATCCTTCTGCTTGTGGTTGTACTTCTGATTAGCAAATGAGAAGCTGATTATGACAAGAGCCTATCGTTGGTTTAAAACCTTGACAGACCTGACTCGGAAAATGGCGTACATGGTTCCCCCTGCAAGGAAACTGTTTCAGTTGTATTAAAGCTTGTACCTTCTCTTCTATGCAAACACGTCTCTTTATGCTACTGTAACATGGACCAACCTTGCTTAACACAGTTCCCAACCTCCTCCAATATTCTAGGTTGCACAGGTAATGGGCAAGCTCGGTCGTTACCTCGACAGCAGTGCCATTCAGGCCTACGTAAAACCGACCCTCGAAAAACTTGGCAGTGATCCGGACGCCGACGTTGTCTTCTTCGCAAAGCAAGCCTCCGATGCGTTGAGTATGAATGC